TATTTAAGCCAGTTCCCAGATTCTATAACATACAACGACAAAAACAGTGTAACTGGTGATGCCACACGTAAAAGTTTTAGCCTTTCATTCTGATGGTATCCAACAAAAACATTTTCACTAAACTTGTATAATTTTATATAAAACTTATGACCCCCCTCCCGTCAATAAAGACGAGAGGTCTATGACTTCATATGATACTCTGGCTGCTATTTTAGCCTTTTTCATTGACTAAAACTTTTCATTGACTTTTGTCCAAGAGGAAATCAACCTTTTTAAAGAAAGAAACTGTGACCTACTGATAAACCTTAAAGCTCTAGGGAGTAATACGTTCTCAGACTAGTCGTATAAGAACAACATTATGTAGCCCTAACTCATCCAAATGAATAAAAAAAGCCAAATAGATAAAATAAAAATTTATTTGAACAAAGTGAAGCTTGTAACATGATTGATAAGGAAAAAACAGAACAAAAAAGGGAAATCATTAGATACTATAACAGATTCAACAGAAAAAACAAGAGGGCCATGATGGCCCTGAAGTCGCTCACCTGTATATAGGCCCCCGGAGTGGGGCCAGTTTTAATCCCAGGGCTTTTATTTGAACAAACTTGGTAGACACCCATTAGAAGATGTTTCATGCTAAACATCTAAGGTCTAGCTGGTCAAGTTTTTTCTTTACACATATAGTTAAAAACAATGACACACCTGGGGCAGGGCCAGTTTTGACCCAAGGCCTTTTATTTGAACAATCTTTGTAGGTACTTACTAGAAAATGTTTCATGCTCTAGCTATTCAGGTTTTTTCAAAGAAGATTTTTAAGTTTTTGCTATACACATATATGGAAAATCAATGTCCCCTGGGGCGGGGCCAATTTTGACCCCAGGGCTTTTATTTGAACAAACTTTGTAGACACTCACTAGAAGATTCTTCATGCTTAATATCTAAACTCTAGCTATTTGAGTTTTTTCAAAGAAGATTTTTAAGTTTTTGCTATATACACATATAAGGAAAATAAATGACCCCCGAGGCGGGGTGAATTTTGACCCCAGGGCTTTTATAAGAACAAACTTGGTAGACACCCATTAGAGGATGTTTCATGCTAAGTATCTTAACTCTAGCTATTTTGGTTTTTTTCAAAGAAGATTTTTTTAAGTTTTTGCTATACACATATAAGGAAAATCAATGAACCCCTGGGGCGGGGCCAATTTTGACCCCAGGGCTTTTATTTGAACAAACTTGGTAGACACCCATTAGAGGATGTTTCATGCTAAATATCTTAGCTCTAGCTCTTTGGGTTCTTTAAAAGAAGATTTTTTAAGTTTTTACTATATGCATATAGGGAAAATCAATGACCCCCTGGGGCGGGGCCAATTTTGACCCCAGGGCTTTTATTTGAACAAACTTGGTAGACACCCATTAGAGGATGTTTCATGCTAAATATCTTAGCTCTAGCTCTTTGGGTTCTTTAAAAGAAGATATTTTAAGTTTTTACTTTATGCATATAGGGAAAATCAATGACCCTCTGGGGCGGGGCCAATTTTGACCCCAGGGCTTTTATTTGAACAAACTTGGTAGACACTCACTAGAAGATGTTTCATGCCAAATATCTAAGCTCTAGCTCTAACGGTTTTTTAGAAGAAGATATTTAAAGTTTTTTCTTTTGGTTGCCATGGCAACCAGAGTTCTGCATGGAATTAAATTCTTTGAACAATTTTCAAAGGTGACCACCAAAGGAACATTCCTGTGAAGTTTGGATGAAATTGGCTTAGTGGTTTATGAGAAGATGTCATTTAAAGTAAAAGTTTCCGGACGACGGTCGGACGACGGACGGACGACGGACGCCGGACGAAAAGCGATCACAAAAGCTCACCCTGTCACTTTGTGACAGGTGAGCTAAAAACATGATATGTTTTTCAATACCAAGAATAGCATAAAAAGGAGACAGTTTCCATATTTTAATTTTAATCTCTGAATTCAAGGCAGGACAACGAGCGGGCAATAATGTTAACATAATTATAAAACCTTGTCAACAAATACAACAATATAGTTTTGCACCATATTATAATGGTTTTCACAGTACTAAAAACAATTGAATTATACAGCCGAATTTGTCATAAAGAAAAGAAACTTATCATAGAGATGAAAGTTTTGCTGTTGATCTTATCCTCCAAAAGAATAGAATTCGGAACAAATTACGTTGAGTGTTATATGGCATTCTGGTCGTCATCAAAAAGGATAATTATCATTATTAAATGATTTTTTAAGATGGTATATGGCATCGCCAGATACCCTCGGTTGATTAACATGTAACATAAAATAACATGTAATGGTTCGGCTGTGGGTATCCGACGATGGGTATATAAAGGCCGAGTAGAGAACGACAAGATCAGAGATCAATTAATCAAATGGTATAATGTTGCTACACTGTTTCATATATATTTCTAAATCTACACATTCTAAGAGCATCGCACAGACGTCTGTTCTCAACATTTTAACGGAAGATAAAGACAAGACAACAATCCCCTATTTGGGTTTCAGTCATCTTCACATTACAGAAAATGGTGTACAAAGACTGCAAGCACTACTAATAGGACTAGATCAGACCAACGGTGATCTAAACTTGCACCTATCTACACACACTTCTTCCAAGCGTCCATAGACCAATGTACCATACAAGATGACTGGAAAACTAGAACTTATCTTCATAAAACGAGATCAAGCCAAGCAAGAACACTATAGATCAGTGTCATTGAGATCCTCATCACGAGATCACCTTGTAAAGTCGACCGTGTCCAAGTTAAGTGTCATTGTGCCACTGCTGTTCTATAAACGACCTTTCAAGCTATCCACTTCAAGACTATTTGCAAACAGGAGTGTACTTTATTGCCAGATAATCCATGTTCTCTACAGCAAGACGTTGACAACTTGCGACGATCGGAGAGAGAATGGCTAGTGAAATTTAACCTAAAGTTCCCAAATCATATATGTCACCAAGAAAAGGAACCAGTTAACTACAATTATAACATCCACGGCCATATCCTAGAAGAAGATGTAGAAGTAGACACTGTATATCTACAGTTGAAACCAAAAAACAAGTATACAGCATATAACTAAAATAGCAAATACAATGTACCAGGTTTCTTCAGTATCCATTGTAAAAACAAAACCTTAAGGGATACTATCAAATCCTCTGGGACCCGGATATTGAAAAAAAAACATGTATAAGCCAACTGGTGATGTTGCAGAATATCGACCAATGTGTCATAAGTGGCTTACTTCCACAAGCGACAGCCATTCTGAAAACCTGGCCTATATCCATTAGTTCACCTGAATTTCCCATACAAATTACGTTTATCTACAAGAAGAACTCCATGAACACCATCATTTCTTTGACAAATAAAGGCAAATAATCTTATTATAAGTGCAAATCATTATATATATGGAGTTAGCTTTCTTTAAATACTACAAGGTGATCTGTATCACGGTAATCTGAAACAAGAGGGCCATGATGGCCCTGAAGTCGCTCACCAGTATATAGGCCCCCAGAGTGAGGCCAGTTTAAACCCCAGGGCTTTTATTTGAACAAACTTGGTAGATACCCATTACCAGATGTTTCATGCTAAACATCTAGGTTAAGTTTTTTAAAAAATGATTTTTTAAGTTTTGCCCCCAGGGCTTTTTTTTTTTAACAAACTTTGAAGACACTCACTAGAAGATGTTTCATGCTTAATATCTTAACTCTAGCTATTTGGTTTTTTTCAAAGAAGATTTTTAAGTTTTTGCTATACACATATAAGGAAAATCAATGTCCCCCGGGGCAGGGCCAATTTTGACCCTAGGGCTTTTATTTGAACAAACTTTGAAGACACTAACTGGAAGATGTTTCATGCTTAATATCTTAACTCTAGCTATTTGGGTTTTTTTAAAGAAGATTTTTTAATTTTTTGCTATACACATAAATAAAATCAATGATCCCCCGGGGCAGGGCCAATTTTGACCCAAGGGCTCTTATTTGAACAAATTTGGTAGACAACCATTAGAAGATGTTTCGTGTTAAATATCTTAGCTCTAGCTCTTTGGGTTCTTTAAGAGAGGATTTTATAAGTTTTTACTATATGCATATAGGGAAAATCAATGACCCCCTGGGGCGGGCCAATTTTGACCCCAGGATTTTTATTTGAACAAACTTGTTTCATGCCAAATATCTAAGCTCTACCTCTATGGGTTTTTTAAAAGAAGATATTTTAAGTTTTTACTATATGCATATAGGGAAAAACAATGACCCCCGGGGCGAGGCCAATTTTGACCCCAGGGCTTTTATTTGAACAAACTTTATAGACACTCACTAAAAGATGTTTCATGCCAAATATCTAAGCTCTACCTCTTTGGGTTTTTTAAAAGAAGATATTTTAAGTTTTTTTCTATCGGTTGCCATGGCAACCAGAGTTCTGCATGGAATTAAATTCTTTGAACAATTTTTAAAGGTGACCACCAAAGGAACATTCCTGTGAAGTTTGGATGAAATTTGCTTTGTGACATGTGAGCTAAAAAGTTAAAACTTAGTCATGGAATTATGATAATGATAAGGAACTATAGTGAATCATGGCAGTGGACATGTTTACATTTGCCACAGACAATGTGTCTCATCAAACAAAGGATTTCATTTATCTGCTTCATCGCAAAAGTTTTAGCCTTTCAGTCTGATGGTATCCAACAAAAACATTTTCACTAAACTTGTATAATTTTATATAAAACTTATGACCCCCCCCCCCCCGTCAATAAAGACGAGAGGTCTATGACTTCATATGATACTCTGGATGCTATTTTAGCCTTTTTCATTGACTAAAACTCTTTTGTCCAAGAGGAATTCAACCTTTTTAAAGAAAGAAACTGTGACATACTGATAAACCTTAAAGCTCTAGGAAGTACTACGTTCTCAGACTAGTCGTATAAGAACAACATTATGTAGCCCTAACTCATCCAAATGAATAAATAAAGCCAAATAGATAAAATAAAAATTTATTTGAACAAAGTAAAGCTTGTAACATGATTGATAAGCTTGTAACATGATTGATAAGGGTAAAACAGAACAAAAACAGGGATTTTTTTTTAGATACTATAACAGATTCAACAGAAAAAACACATGATATGTTTTTGATACCAAGAAGAGCATAATAAGGAGACAGTCCATATTTTAATTTTAATCTATACATTCAAGGCAGGACAACGAGCGGGCAATAATGTTAACATAATTATAAAATCTTGCCAACAAAATAACAATAGATTATTGCACCATATTATCACAGATGATCAGAATGGTTTTCACAGTACTAAAAATAAATGAATTATGCAAAGGAATTGTCATGAAGAAACTTATAACAGAGATGAAAGTTTTGCTGTTGATCTTTTCCTCCAAAAGAATAGAATTCGGAACATATTACCTTGATGTTTGTTAAATGGCATTCTGGTTGTCATCAAAAAGGATAATTATCATTATTATGCCAGATACCCTCGGTTGATTTAACATGGTTCGGCCGTGGGTATCTGACGATAGGTATATAAAGGCTGAGTAGAGAACGACAAGATCAGAAACCGGGGTATATTTAGACTAAACTTATTCGTTAAGGTCCTTTATTAGGATATAAAGTACACCTTACTGATTTAGAAATACAACGATTTCGATCTATTTTTCAATGTCAAGTAGACTCAAAGTAATCGAGACGTTGAATAAAGTAAAGAAAAGTGTTGAGATATATTTGAAACATGTAGAAATTTAGTCTACAGGGTCTTTTCTAGATATTTTGGAAAAAGCCCCCCACCCCGACATAAATTGGAAAAATTATTCGACATTTTGGGAAATTTGAGAAAATTAAAAAAGTTAGTGAACAAACTTAAACATGACTTTTACCTTTTTAACATCTTCATGATCATGTTACCGGTAACTTTTTATACTAAACAAGTAAAAACAGTTCATTTTTTCCGCTCAGAATAAGGAACAGTTTGATTTATTTGACTGCTGTTAGGAATGATTTTAAATTGGGAAAAAGAGGCTATTTTGGAGTGGGTATGAAACGTCATTTCAACCCCTGGTAACAGGGAGAAAATACCGTCAGACCTTGCTGAATCAAAAATTATTAATGTTCTCTTATACAAACCTCGTATTGACGTATAATATACAAGTATATATTGGAGTAAGAAAGTTACATTTAGTAATGTAAATAAAATCCGATTAGTCATTTGCTGGCTACTACTTAGACGTTTACTACATTAGATATGTGAAGAAAAATAAGTTTTCATTGTTTTATAAAAGAAAAATATATTATAAAGTGGTGAAATCGGTGGGTTGTTTTTTTTACAAAGAAATGTCAAAGTTCATCTAAACAATTTGTTGATTAGATAGGTGTTAACCCTAGTTTAGAATATGGTCTATACTATAGTGTTGTTCCTTTCCATATTACTTGGTATGTTTCATATTTTTAACTATTATCCTGAATTGCATAATATTGTTTACCAGCGTTTTTTTTAAACTTCTTTGCAACACGTGTCTTTCAAATTGAAAAACTTTAGCAAAGTAATCAGAAGAAATTCAGGAAAAGTTTTACAAACCTACTGAAGCATTAACATCTTTTTGCAAGTGATATATATTAACATAATTGATATATAAATATTTTATATAAATCATATTTTATATAAATAATATCTCTCTCTCTCTACATATTTATTTATATATGCATGTGTGCTTAAAACTTGAGCTGATTCTGGGGAAATCTCCAGAATATTTTGGAATATTCATATTTTTAAAGTTTTGACAACTTATTTAAGGCTAATATTCAGCCTCTTCCTAAGCAAAAACATCACTCTTCCATATGCAGTTGATTTTCTACAGAGATCTGTCGATTCCTATGACATTTTTATCTAAAATATATCTTATCCACCCTGCCACCCCTATCCACAAATAACATAGACTGGTATACGTGTAAAAACATTAATAAAATACAGCTACAAAATTATTCTTCAGCAATGTGTTGCCAGTTTTTAAGATCCCTCTTTTTAGGGACTTTTTCAATTTCTTATTTTGTCATTTTTTTCTGCATTGGTTATCTATGTTTAATTTTCAGAAATTTTCTTATGGAGCATCTGGTGGTGTTTTCATATCCCTCTAATAAACTAACAGTCAATAAACACTCCGGAGACAGTATGAAGTCTGGCCAGATGATGAAGGTCCGAGTACACATCATTACTGGTGATATTAGCCAGGTCTCTTGCCTTCACTATTAAGCAAGTGCATACCCCTGACTTCCACATTGTAAGGCAACAAGGATCTTCTCCTTTGTAATATTCTTACTGGGATAGTCTGGTAATCTAAGGAAGTTTATACTGAAAAAAAAATAATTAAAAAAAAATAAGAAAAAAACTGAAACAAGAGGGCCATGATGGCCCTGAAGTCGCTCACCTGTACATAGGCCCCCGGAGCGGGGCCAGTTTAAAGCCCGGGGCTTTTATTTGAACAAACTTGGTAGACAACCATTAGAAGATGTTTCATGCTAATCATCTAAGGTCTAGCTCATTGGGATTTTTAAAAGAAGATTTTTTTAAGTTTTTTCTTTACACATATAGTTAAAAACAATGACACACCTGGGGCAGGGCCAGTTTTGACCCCAGGGCTTTTATTTTAACAATCTTTGTAGACACTTACTAGAAAATGTTTCATACTTAATATCTAAACTCTAGCTATTCGGGTTTTTTCAAAGAAGATTTTTAAGTTTTTGCTATACTCAAATAAGGAAAATCAATGTCCCCCGGGGCGGGGCCAATTTTGACTCCAGGACTTTTATTTGAACAAACTTTGAAGACACTCTCTAGAAGATGCTTCGTGCTTAATATCTGAATTCTAGCTATTTGAGTTTTTTCAAAGAAGATTTTTCAATTTTTGCTATAGTTTTACACATATAGGGAAAATGAATGACCTCCGGGGTAGGGCCAATTTTGACCCCAGGGCTTTTATTTGAACAAACTTTGTAGTCAATCACTAGAAGATGTTTCATGCTTAATATCTAAACTCTAGCTATTTGTTTTTTTCCAAAGAAGATTTTTTAAGTTTTTCCTATACACATATAAGGAAATTTGGAAAATCAATGACCTCCTGGGGCGGGGCAAATTTTGACCCCAGGGCTTTTATTTGAACAAACTTGGTAGACACCCATTAGAAGATGTTTCATGCTAAATATCTTAGCTCTAGCTCTTTGGGTTCTTTAAAAGAAGATTTTTTAAAGTTTTTACTATATGTATATATGGAAAATCAATGACCCCCTGGGGTGGGGCAACTTTGACCCCAGGGCTTTTATTTGAACAAACTTGGTAGACATTCATTAGAAGATGTTTCATGCTAAACATCTTAGCTCTAGCTCTTTTGGTTCTTTAAAAGAAGATTTTTTAAAGTTTTTACTATATGTATATAGGGAAAATCAATGACCCCCTGGGGCGGGGCCAATTTTGACCCCAGGGCTTTTATTTGAACAAACTTGGTAGACATCCATTAGAAGATGTTTCATGCTAAATATCTTAGCTCTAGCTCTTTGGGTTCTTTAAAAGAAGATTTTTTAAGTTTTTACTATATGCATATAGGGAAAATCAATGACCCCCCCGGGCGGGGCCAATTTTGACCCAAGGGCTTTTATTTGAACGAACTTGGTAGACACTCACCAGAAGATGTTTCATGCCAAAAATCTAAGCTCTAGCTCTTTGGGTTTTTTAGAAGAAGATATTTTAAGTTTTTTCTTTTGGTTGCCATGGCAACCAGAGTTCTGTATGGAATTAAATTCTTTGAACAATTTTCAAAGGTGACCACCAAAGGAACATTCCTGTGAAGTTTGGATGAAATTGGCTTAGTGGTTTATGAGGAGATGTCATTTAAAGTAAAAGTTTACGGACGACGGCCGGACGGACGGACGCCGGATGAAAAGCGATCACAAAAGCTCACCCTGTCACTTTGTGACAGGTTAGCTAAAAAGCCCAAAACTGATTTATCACTTTACAGGTGACACTGACAATCATAAACAAATATGTCTTACCAAAATTTTCCTTGGCACAGATGGGAGACAAATCCATGTCTTTACAATGCCAGGTCATTAAGTATATTTATTTTGTCCTGTGGATATTTATATTCAAATACTAGTACTTATATTTAAGAAATCTTGCTTAATTCAACAGAAAAAATGTTTACACTCAAAGTTACATGCATAAATTAAAAATATGTAAACATTTCCATCTTGGCACATCTGCAAATAATTATAAACATATTTTCAGAAGATTTTTTGTAGCAAAACAAACTAAGATTTTACAAACCATGTACTAGCAGTGGGTAACAAATCTTGTGTATATGGCACTAAGCTTATTGTAAATTTCTGTGGTCCCCCTCCCCCTGTCAGCTTGCTGAAACCACCATATGGAAGCCGGGAACTGAATAACATAAAATACATAACTATCAAAATTTTTACAATTTCTCAAAATTGTGCATAAACTCTTATTTAAAGATAAACAAGATTGCATTTGAGAAAAATGCTATGCCACCGCATTAATACAACACTAAGCCTTGTACCTTCAGACAATAAGATTTTATAATTTTTTAACTATATATATATATATATATATATATATATATATATATATATATATATATATATATATATATATATATATATATATATTGAAAATCAATGACCCCTGGGGCAAAGGCAATTTTGACCCCAGGGCTATAATTTAAACAATCTTGCTAGAAGTTCACTACATAATGTTTCATGCAAAATATCTAACCTCTAGCATTTGTCAATTACTAGAAGAATTTTTTTAAAAGTTTTTACTACTACATGTATAAGTTTTTACTATATACATATAAGGAAAATCAATGACCCCTGGGGCGGGGCCGATTCTGATCCAGGGCTATAATTTGAATAATCTGGGTAGAGGTCTACCAGACAATGCCTTATGCAAAATATCTAAGCTCTAGGCCTTTTGGGTCTTTACAAGAAGGTATTTTAAGTTTTTGCTATATGTACATATAGTGAAAATCAATGACCCCCGGGGCGGGGCCGATTTTGACCCCAGGTCTATAATTTGAACAATCTTGGTAAGGGTCTACCAGACAATGCCTTATGCAAAATATCTAAGCTCTAGGCCTTTTGGGTCTTTACAAGAAGGTATTTTAAGGTTTTGCTATATGTACATATAGTGAAAATCAATGACCCCCGGGGCGGGACCGATTTTGACCCCAGGGCTATAATTTGAACAATCTTGGTAGAGGTCTACCAGACAATGCCTTATGCAAAATATCTAAGCTCTAGGCCTTTTGGGTCTTTACAAGAAGATTTTTTAAATTTATTCTTATAATTCCTTTTGGTTGCCATGGCAACCAGATTTCTGTATGGAATGAAATTCTTTGAACAACTTTGGAAGCCCTTCACCCAAGGATCAATCCTGCCAAGTTTGGTTGAAATTGGACTAGTGGTTTTTCACAAGAAGATTTTTTAAGTTCACTATATAATGTATATAACACACACACACACACACACACAAACAAACACACAGGTGAATCGCTATATGCCACCGCATCGCAGATGCTGCGGTGGCATAAAAAAGCTATTCACATGACACAAATATCATATCAACAGCCATGCCTGAATTTACTCACACCTTTTATATTATAAAAAGAAAATTAGTATTCATTAACCTAGATTAACTGAATATAGATTTGTGAATATAATGTAGTAAATTCTTAAAGTACCTTCCAGTAACAAACTGAAGCATAAGAACTTTTTCTTGGTCTGTAAATTCTTCTAGAATCTCCCAGAACCACTGAAACAATAAGCATATAATTTTTTATATGATGCATATCAAGTTTGTTTTTCCAAATAAATGGCTGACTATCTCAATTATGCAATGTCAAATTGAAAGAAATAGTGCACTGGTCAATTGTAATCCCAGCCTGAACATCCCCAGAACAATTGGGATCTTATAATAATACTTTAGGATTATTAATCCTTACCACACTAAATATCTTAAATGGACTTGTCCATCTGTCAATCTGGACATATCCATCTATCATTTTAGGAGAAATTAAACAAGAGGGCCATTATGGCCCTAAAATCGCTCACTTGAATACAGGCCCCCTGGGCAGGGCCAATTTTAACCCAGGGGCTTTTATTTGAACAAACTTGGTAGACACCCATTTGAAGATGTTTCATGAAAAATATCTAAGCTCTAGCTGTAAGAAGATTTTTTAAGTTTTTACTATACACATATAGGGAAGAACAATGACCCCCCCCATCTTAGCTCTAGCTCTTAGGGTTTTTTAAAAGAAGATTTTTTTCAGTTTTTACTATATACATAAAGGGAAAAACAATGACCCCCTGGCACGGGCCAATTTTGACCCCAGGGCTTTTATTTGAACAAACTTGGTAGACACCCACTAGAAGATGTTTCATGCTTAATATCTAAGCTCTAGCTATTTGGGCTTTTTAAAAGAAGATTTTTTAAGTTTTTATTATATACATTTAAGGAAAATCAATGATCCCCGGGGCGGTGCCAATTTTAACCCCAGGGCCCTTATTTGAACGAAAAAGGTATTTGAAGATGTTTCATGCTAAATATCTTAGCTCTAGCTCTTAAGGTTTTTTATATAAAGATTTTTTAAATTTTTACTATATACATAAAGGGAAAAGCAATGACCTCCTGGGACTGGGCCAATTTTGACCAGAGGGCTTTTATTTGAACAAACTTGGTAGACACCCACTAGAAGATGTTTCATGCTTAATATCTAAGCTCTAGCTACATGTATTTGGGCTTTTTAAAAGAAGATTTTTTAAGTTTTTACTATATACAAATAAGAAAAATCAATGACCCTCCGGGGCGGGGCTAATTTTGACCCCAGGGCATTTATTTGAACAAACTAGATGATTTTTCATGCCAAATATTTAAGCTCTATCTCTTTCGGGTTTCTAAAAGAAGATATTTTAAGTTTTTTTCATTTCGTTGCCATGGTAAATAGAGTTCTGCTAAGAATCAAATTCTTTGAACAATTTTTAAATTTGACTACCAAAGGCACATTCCTGTGAAGTTTGGGTGAAATTGGCTTAGCCGTTTATGAGGAGATGTCTTTTAAAGTAAAAGTTTACGGATGGACGGACGATTGACAAAAAAAATCACAAAAGCTCACCATGTCACTTCGTGACAGGGGAGCTAAACAAGAGGGCCATGATGGCCCTGAAATCGCTCACCTGTATATAGGCCCCATGGGCGGGGCCAATTTTAACCAAGGGGCTTTTATTTGAACAAACTGTGTTGACACCCATTTAAAGATAATTCATGATAAATATCTAAGCTCTAGCTCTAAGAAGATTTTTAAGTTTTTACTATACACATATAGGGAAAAACAATGACCCCCGTCTGGCGGGCCAATTTTGTCCCCAGGGCTTTTATTTGAACAAACTTGGTAGACACTCACTAGAAGATAATTCATGCTTAATATCTAAACTCTAGTTTTTTAAAAGAAGATTTTTTAAAGTTTTTACTATATACAAATAAGGAAAATGAATGACCCCCTGGGGCTGGGCCAATTTTGACCCCAGGGCATTTATTTGAACGAACTTGGTAGACACTGACTAGATGATTTTTCATGCCAAATATTTAAGCTCTAGCTCTTTGGGTTTTTTAGAAGAAGATATTTTAAGTTTTTTCTTTTGGTTGCCATGGCAACCAGAGCTCTGCTTGGAATTAAATTCTTTGAACAATTTTTAAAGTTGACTTCCAAAGGAACATTCCTGTGAAGTTTGGATGAAATTGGCTTAGCGGTTTATTAGGAGATGTTGTTCAAAGTAAAAGCTTTTGAACGGATGCCAGATGGACAGACGCTAGACGAAAAGGGATCACAAAAGCTCACCATGTCACTTTGTGACAGGTGAGCTAAAAAATGTGCTGACTGAATAGCAAACAGTGCAGATGATGATCAGACGGCATGGATGTACTGCCTGATTTTGGTCTGCACAGGTCTCCTAGGTAGATTCTGTAGCCAAGAGCAGGGTAATGGTTAAACATCCTGCTAAGGCCCTAATCCCCCCATGCAGGGACAGTAAAAGAGTATAGTCACCACTAAATGCCCCTACACTGCTACATGGACATATTCCCCATATTTGGGAGACAGATAAAACTATCGCATTGTCCTGGTAGTGTGAAGACAGACAGAATATAATAATTTCTACTCTCCTACTTTCTACCCCAACATCCCTTTGTTATAAAATGACTAGTGTAAAGTGCAACCAGAAAAACACTTATAAATAATTGAAATACATTATAAGATAGATATGGTAAAAACTTAACAAACAAGCAAAATATTTTCTAGCTTTACTGATAGGAAAAACCTTGTGTGCCCTTCTTTGCCTTATTTCAGGCACACCTGAGTAGTACCACCATCATTCTGTAAGATTCCTCACATCAAAAAACTTCAACTTCCCCAGTGGGATTCAAACCTACAGCAGCATGTGGCAAGAATTTCAAAATAACAGACATTAACAAAGAAGCTCAGAAGTTTTCTTTATTCTTAATCACAGAGGAAACCTATATTCTTAATCACAGAAGAAACCTATATTCTGAATCACAGAGGAAACTATAACTTTTGTTATAAAGTAAGCGTACCTTTACTGTCTTTGACTGATTTGTACAGTCTATGTATGTTGTATGGTCTTTCCAATCCTGTATATTGATTTCTGGTATTCCTGACAACAACAACTCCAGTTCGTACTCGTCGAAAAGCCGCACAAGTTTACGTGGTATGTAAACGTGGAACCCTGATAAGAAACTATCAATCTGAGGCTGTATTGCGCGAGTCATCCGTAATTCAGTGACCAACTGAACATATTCCGCCTATTAATTAGAAATATCATTTTAACAATTTCATCATTTGTGATGAAATACGTTTATAAAATCGTTGATAAGTAAGGGTTCAATGACTCATGTCACTTAATATTACATTTTGGTAGTTTAACTTTTAAGGTTAATAAACAGTATACATCTGCTAATCGCAGGTAAAAATTGGAATAACTGGAAGCCAGTCTTGTTTTTATTGGACACTTTAATAATATCTATTTTTAGTATATTTTGTCACTTGTTCATCACTTTGATGTCATTATTTAATAAATTTCCAATATGGCATCTCCAATACATGCTCATTAAAGTCAGTAATCCTTAAATTCCCTTTACAAATATCATTAATATAGTTTTGTTATGGACAGTTTTTATCCTAAATAGTAAGATACTGGTTCTAGCATTCAACTGTACAATATATGATATACTGGACACTACAGTGTCCAATATAGAAAATATATTGGATGGTCACACTGTACAATTCAAAAGATGCCATTTGCTGTTCATAACTGGAATAGAATATTTGTTAGTATTTCTAACCTTGTTACTTTCAGTTACAGGAATTTTGTTTCCATTTGGCTTCAGATCCATTTCTTCCATGTACCCAAAAACATCGGTTTCCACAGAAAATGTCAGATCTAATCCAAGATCACTGATGTCATGATCCAGTATCCACTAAAAACATGAAAATATTATCATTTAACCCTTTATAGATATCAAACTAATAATAACTTTCAGGGGTATGAAGCTATATTGGTCTGTCCGTAATCTTGGGCTATCTGTGAAAATGAGGATGCTGTAGTATCGGGCTGTCTGTAGTATCAGGCTGTCTGTGATATTGAGATGTCTGTAGTATCGGGCTGTCTGTAGTATCGGGCTGTCTGTGATATTGAGATGTCTGTAGTATCGGGTTACCTGTGATATTGGGCAGTCTGTAGTATTGGGCTGTCTGTGATATTGATATGTCTGTAGTATCAGGCTGTCTGTGATATTGAAATGTCTGTAGTATTGGACTGTCTGTGATATTGAAATGTCTGTAGTATTGGGCTGTCTGTGATATTGAGATGTCTGTAGTATTGGGATGTCTGTGATATTTATTGAGATGTCTGTAGTATTGGGCTGTCTGTGATATTGAGATGTCTGTAGTATTGGGCTGTCTGTGATATAGAGATGTCTGTAGTATTGGGCTGTCTGTGATATTGAGATGTCTGTAGTATTGGGCTGTCTGTGATATTGAGATGTCTGTAGTATTGGGCTGTCTGTGATATTGAGATGTCTGTAGTATCAGTTTGTCTGTGATATTGAGATGTCTGTAGTATCAGGCTGTCTGTGATATTGAGATGTCTGTAGTATCGGGCTGTCTGTGATATTGAGATGTCTGTAGTACTGGGCTGTCTGTGATATTGATATGTCTGTAGTACTGGGCTGTCTGTGATATTGAAATGTCTGTAGTATCAGGCTGTCTGTGATATTGAGATGTCTGTAGTATCAGGCTCTCTGTGATATTGAGATGTCTGTAGTATTGGGCTGTCTGTGATATTGAGATGTCTGTAGTATCAGGCTGTCTGTTATATTGAGATGTCTGTAGTATTGGGCTGTCTGTAATATTGATATGTCTGTAGTATTGGGCTGTCTGTGATATTTAAATGTCTGTAGTATCGGGCTGTCTGTAATATTGATATGTCTGTAGTATCAGGCTGTCTGTGATATTGAGATGTCTGTAGTATCAGGCTGTCTGTGATATTGAGATGTCTGTAGTATCAGGCTGTCTGTGATATTGAGATGTCTGTAGTATCAGGCTATCTGTGATATTGAGATGTCTGTAGTTTTGGGCTGTCTGTGATATTGAGATGTCTGTAGTATCAGGTTGTCTGTGATATTGATATGTCTGTAGTATTGGGCTGCCTGTGATATTGAGAATGTCTGTAGTATTGGGCTGTCTGTGATAGTATCAGGCTGTCTGTGATATTGAGATGTCTGTAGTATTGGGCTGTCTGTGATATTGAGATGTCTGTAGTATTGGGCAGTCTGTAGTATTGGGCTGTCTGTGATATTGAGATGTCTGTAGTATTGGGCTGTCTGTGATATTGAGATGTCTGTAGTATTGGGCTGTCTGTGATAGTATCAGGCTGTCTGTGATATTGAGATGTCTGTAGTATCAGGCTGTCTGTGATATTGAGATGTCTGTAGTATCGGGCTGTCTGTAATATTGATATGTCTGTAGTATTGGGCTGTCTGTGATATTAAAATGTCTGTAGTATCAGGCTGTCTGTGATATTGAGATGTCTGTAGTATTGGGCTGTCTGTGATATTGAGATGTCTGTAGTATCAGGCTGTCTGTGATATTGAGATGTCTGTAGTATCAGGCTGTCTGTGATATTGAGATGTCTGTAGTATCGGGCTGTCTGTAATATTGATATGTCTGTAGTATTGGGCTGTCTGTGATATTGAAATGTCTGTAGTATCAGGCTGTCTGTGATATTGAGATGTCTGTAGTATTGGGCTGTCTGTGATATTGAGATGTCTGTAGTATCGGGCTGTCTGTGATATTGAGATGTTTGTAGTATTGGGCTGTCTGTGATATTGAGATGTCTGTAGTATTGGGCTGTCTGTGATATTGAGTTGTCTGTAGTATCAGGCTGTCTGTGATATTGAGATGTCTGTAGTATTGGGCTGTCTGTGATATTGGGCTGTCTGTTGAACACGTTTGTTTCTTAGTAATGCTTCTTAATTATGTTAACAAAACATGTTCTGTAAAATTTCTTTAATTGTGTTGCATTTTTAACATAAACTGTGCAAATGTTTGCAAGCATGTACATTTAACTATTAACATGAACTTTCCATTATACATGCAGTTTGAGATTTAAAATATTATTTCAGAATCTACTGAAATATTGATTATCACTACACAAAATGACAGACTTTTTAAACTTCTTAAAGTAAATGATAAAATCTACCTGCAAATTTTTGGCATATTCTGGATCAATGGAAGCAACATCATTGTAATTTACAGGTATACCAAGAATATGTTTGTAGAAAGATCTTGTAAAGTAGGCATTGATCAGTTGTTTATGATATAAAGCCAGGCCAAGACACTGACCAGCAAATCTGAAGTAGTTGAGATGGTCAGGATTTACTGAGGAATTGCTGTTAGGCTGGAAAGTACTGCCTGAATAAAAAAGCAAAGAAAATGCTTATTAATATTCCTGCTATAAACATATAACAGATTACATATTATCCAACATTTGCCTTTTCTTCTTCCCTTGACCTGCTTAACATGTGTGTAATGGACTTGCCCAGCTTCTATTTTTGGAACTGTCCATTATCAATTTTAGGGATATCAAGATGAAAATATCAATTTGTCAGCCAACAGTATAAAACATAGTGCATTGGAATCTTTACTGGTGGCAAAAGCTTTAAACTGTTTACTGGTGTCAAAGTCTTTTCACTTTTGTTACCAGCAGGTTAAAGTTCAGTTGTAATCCTGGTGACATACAGACATCTTAACTTTCAGGCTATGTGAGTCAGTTTGCCAGTATTTATTTTACTTGCATTGAATAAACTATAAATATCACAAAACACTTACCATCAGCAGACTGTGTAAATAAAGCATAGTCTGGATTTAGGATTTCTTTCGATAAAACATCAAACCATTCCCTCACAACACCTTGACCCTGTCAAAATAGAATACAAACTATGGACCTCAAGATAAAAAGACATTGTGTCAGAATACAACTTACAAAATTAACAAAAGCGACACTATCCATTAGAATAAGTCACAATGTTATCCTTTTAGTTTAAACAGGGCGGGCCCAAGGTTTTAAAGAAGTTTTCTGTGCTCAAATTAAGATCTCGGATATCTGATTAATCAGTAACCAATTTTACTCTTTTTTTTCCCCCACAAACAAAGAAAAAATCATTGTACTAAGCAATGAGTGTTAAGTTCTTTGCTCAAAGAAACAACAATCTTTATTGTTTACTCCCTGTTGAATGTGTAAAGAAATTCTGAGCAAAACCACAATAATTATTTTCTATCATAAATAGGCTTGGTACCATGTCACTGACATGTTGTTACAAAACATTTACAAATACCTGACATTAACAACAGGAGCAAACCGAAGCATAAAATGTGTTAAAAATGTCCATATTTTCATTAGAAAATTTACATAATTATAATTGTATAAACAAATTTACATGCATTTCCAGACATTAATATCTTACAAGCGGAAATATGACTTTTTTAACCTTAATTGGAACTACAATATGATACATACCATTCCTTCTTCACCATCAAAGCGAAGATTCAACATTCGTTTTAATCTATCTGGATTTTTCTTTAAAACTTGTGAGCAACTACTCTGGAATAATGCATCTATAAGAAAGTGGAAAAAACCATCAGTTGATAATTATGGTTACAGTGTAACTCATTTGTCAAAATTACTTACATCCTGTCAACAAAAGTCTATGTAGACAGTGCATATTTTGTCAACAGTCTATCCTTTACATGATATGTGTTTCTTTTCAATGCTATTATATAACCATTATATATTTCATTATATTACAAATATTTGGGGAAAAAAACAACATTAAGATGACATGAACTTTGTTAAGTCAGTGAATGACAGTGAAAATTGGTGAGTCAAATACTGACTTAGCAGTTTCTGTGTTTACTTAGCTTTATGTTATTGTGCTATCAAAAGATATTTTTATTTGGTTGGGCTTTACATCACACAGTATATGTCATATGGCAACTTTCAAGCTTTTTTGGTCAAGAAAGACCTTAGATGCCCTTCCGAACATTATTTCAGGCATGAACAGGCACCTCAGTAGAACCACTTACATCCCATAAGTTAGCGGGTAAACTTCCCCACATGAAAATATCAAAGTTCGACCAACAGTGGTGAGAGGCATGTGGTTTGAAGTCACAGACCTTTTGGCTCTTAGCGTAAAATGTTATTGACTAATAATGCATTAATTGTCATATATATACTGGTAGAGTATTATAATACTGCACGTTTGTAGGGTCGCTTTTCATTGGATAATCTTGACATTAATATAGTTTTATATACATGCAGGCTGCTTTCAATTCATGAATAAATCACACTTTTTTTTATAAAAAAACAAGTTTGCAGTATCATAAATTCGTTATAAATATTCCTGACAGTTTATTTGATCGTATATAAACGGTTGTTTGCAATATAACCCTTGCCTAGGGGCTCTTGTTATATTTCCAAACAGCCTTTTAAATAGGGTCATATTTTATAACTAATTATATAGAACTCATCCAACAAATGTTATAAAGCACAATATAAGCTTGCATTATAATATTTTCTTCACTCATTTAATAAAGGTATTTTTGCGGCCAAAAAATTGCCTTGAAAAATACAGTAAATTTGATTTTGTAATTGTGAAAATACAGGATTTGGAATGATTGCACTTACCTCTGGTTATAAGAATGGCATCTTCCTGCTCCTCTAATGCTGTTTGTGGAGAACTATCTGACCCAGGTGTCTCCACTTCCAAATCTTTGCTTAACTTCTCATAAAACCAATTTCTTCGTGACTCAAATGGCTAAAACAAAATAAAACAAGTCAACGACTTGAAAAGAATATCATAATTAACAAGACCTGCCATAAAGACAGCCTGATTGAATACTCTCAGTGCTTGATAATAAAACAAGAGCTTAGACAATGAAGGAATGCAAAGAAGTGAATGCTAGAGTTATAGGTGTTTAATAATGACCTACAATTATCTTTTAAAACCAACATTTATCAATAATAAACAATAATCACTGTTTTCTTGATTTATTTATAATTTATTCAGTTTTATAATAAAGGGTTAAGAATTTCATCATCTCAAATTATTTACCTGTTTTCAATTCATCACCTCGAATTATTTACCTGTTTTCAAACAAAAGGTTAACAGCTATACATTCACCAGTTTCTAACAACAAGTGAAGTACACAATAATCTAGCATTATTCATGGAACTTTGTCCGTTTTCAGACATTAGGACAGAACAATATCATAAAAATATTTCACCCTTTTTTAACAATACTTAAATAGGTAAAAATAATGTAATTTAGAACTATTTACCTGTTTTCTAACAATAGGTAAGAACACTGTCATCATTTCTGGAACATCCAACAGGAAATGGAAATGGTCAAATATAACGGTGGGCTTTCTGTAAACAATAACATTACATATCCATATTTTGTATCATGCAGTAGTTTGACCTGTGAAGGGCGGACAAGATATTTCTATTTTTAGCTCTGGCGGCCATTTTGTGCAGCAAAGCAGAATGTACCGGTGAAGTGCATAACTAGGAATGGTACTGATCACTCCTGTAAAGTTTTGTTGAAATCCCACCAGTTGTTTGACCTGTGAAGGGCGGACAAGATTTTTCTATTTTTAGCTCTGGCTGCCATTTTGTGCAGCAAAGCGGAATGTGCGGGTGATGTGCACAACTAGGGATGGTACTGATCACTCATGTAAAGTTTGGTTGAAATCCAACCAGTAGTTTGACCTGTGAATGGTGTACAAGATTTTTCTATTTTTAGGTCTGGCGGCCATTTTGTGCAGCGAAGCGGAACGTGCCGGTGATGTGCACAACAAGGGATGGTACTGATCACTCCTGTAAAGTTTGGTTGAAATTACACCAGTAGTTTGACCTGTGAAGGCCGGACAAGATTTTTCTATTTTTAGCTCTGGTGGCCATTTTGTGCAGCGAAGCGAAACGTGCCGGTGATGTGCACAACTAGGGATGGTACTGATCACTCCTGTAAAGTTTGGTTGAAATCCCACCAGTAGTTTGACCTGTGAAGGGCGGACAAGATTTTTCTATTTTTAGCTCTGGTGGCCATTTTGTGCAGCGAAGCGGAACGTGCCGGTGATGTGCACAACTAGGGATGGTACTGATCACTCCTGTAAAGTTTGGTTGAAATCCCACCAGTAGTTTGACCTGTGAAGGGCAGACAAGATTTTTTTATTTTTAGATCTGGCGGCCATTCTGTGCAGTGAAGAGGAACGTGCCGGTGATGTACACAACTTGAGATGGTACTGATCATTTCTGTAAAGTTTGGTTGGAATCCTACCAGTAGTTTGACCTGTGAAGGGCGGACAAGCTTAATACGGATGGACAACGGACGGACGGACTCACAAAATGACTTTTCCTTTGATCTTTTTGGCCATTTTTAGTCACACAAGGCTTAAAAAAAGACACACAAGTAAAAACGGAATGAATAGGATCAAAGACAATTTACTTTTACCCATTGTTCTCCAAGTCACACAAGTACCTCTAGGTTTGTACGGACAGACAGATGGCGAAGGCAAAAACAATATGTCTCCCAAAAATTTTGGGAGACATAATTAATAGTATGTGTTATTGTGATTTTAAGCACCTTTTACTTCCAATCACTGTATCATGTATTGCAAGCTTATACAAATCAACTTCTACTATTTTTTTTGACCATAGGAAGGAGATGTGTTTCTATGCAGTGCATATGACACTGTCAAAAAATCAAAGGTTTTTATAACTCTGGACAGTAGTTTAAGATTTTTAAAAACTAGAATATAGCTTAAGGATTTTATAATTCTTGAATACAGTCAAAGGTTTATATAACTCTGGAATCAGTCAAATGTTTATATACCAGTAATTCTTGAACCAGTCATATGTTTTAATAACATTGGTATACAAAGATTAATATTACAATAGAATACAGTCAAAGGCTTTGGAATCTTTTTATATCATAAGGATCATTTTTTTCTTGGGAGTATACTGGTTGGGGACTATCAACCGGACACTTTTTGAACATTTTTCCATACAGATTTCATAATTACAAACCTAGAGATCTAAAAATTTGACACAGTACAGCTAGGTTCTTCTCCTAACTAACAAACTAATTTGTTTATTTCTGATTGTATTGACACTTGTATCTGAGGCTTGTCAAGGAAATGAACAAGATATGGACTGACCTTTCTACCAGAGCCATCAACAATGCTTCATTATCACCAACAAACTGTACAAATCTTGCTGATGTGCTGAAATATGAATAAACTCTTGCTATTAAAGTTTCACAAAAGAAAACTTGTATGTATTTTCCTATATCTAAACTAAGTGACCTCTAGGGCGAGCCATTTTTGACACCAAGGACATAATTTGTATCACAAAAGGTGATGCTACATGCAAAATATCAAAGCTTTCTGAGAAAATGATTTATAAACAATTGACTTTTAAAGTCTACCTTTAGCTCATGTGACCAACTTATGCATCAGACTTGAACCATTTTCATAACTTTTTAAAAGGATCACCTCAGGATCATTTTTGTTTACATTTGGTTAAATTCCATCATATGGTTTAGGCACTATTGTTTAAAGAAATTGAGGATAAAGACAGATTACAGACAATGATCTGTCATCATAAAAGCTCACATTTGAGCACTATGTACTCAGGTTAACAAATGAACTGCTTGTTCATTAAAACAAATGATTTAAACAAAGTTGAAAGACAAATTTAACTTTAATAATATTGAAAACACACAATATTCTGTACCAGTTTAAGTTGACCACGCTAATCAAGTGTATACAAAGAAGTTAATGGAATGTAAAGCAGTGATAGCCACCACTTTTTCAAATGTGACTTCAAATAAATCGTCTAAATAGGAAAAAGACTGAATATTGTGGTTTTCATGACAAATGCATTCCAGTCACACACTTTTTTTAGAGCAAAACATGCATATTGTGCTAGATATACCATGTTTATTTCCCGTTTTTATTCTACAAAAAACACATTCCGTGTTTCTTATTAAAAACTTACTCATCTTGCAGTCCTCTGTCGCAGGAACAAACCAGGTAATATGCATGTATTACTCCACATAATCTTGGTACCATCACCTCTAACACGTCAAGGTCATGACCATCTACGGACAGCTGTTTTTTCCGTCTGTTAAACCGGCCAGATCTGTCTGTACAAACATTTAATTGAAGTCTCTCTGACTGTTTCCCCTGAGTTGTGCCATTATCTACAAAAAATATTGATTATACGTATTTTTGACAGGTTACTTATCAGTATATATAGTATTATATCACCCAAAATGCTTGGTTAAGATTACATAGCACACAGTGCTTTTACAAATGGCCATATAACCTGTAAAAATTTGACTTGAACAAAAATAAATTTAAAAATCTGCAGCAGCTATGTCTATGAAAATAGAAATGTGTCTGAAAAACATAAAATCATAACCAAACCAATATGGGTGAACTTTCAAGTGATTACCTTTTGCAGTTGTTGGGATAGACCTTGCACACAAAACTTAAACCAGAAAATTTCAATCATACATTAAAGTAACATAACTAAAAAATTTTTCCCTTAATCACAGTACTTCAGTAGTTAGAATTTCATATATTTTTATGCCTGATGAAGAGTATTATACATGTATTACTCGAAACTAGTAGCCAATAAAATCTTGAAACTTGACCTGGTGTTGTATGTGTGTTCATCACCTTTATTATTTTAGAAAATTTCAATGTTACGAAAGGGGCAAGGGCTAGGGGCAAGGGCAGTGAATACAGTTAAAATCCATGCTTGTTATATGTCTTAACCTTTACCACCTTAAAACCAATTATCACTTACAGGGAAATTTTAGAATACCTATTGACTAAATAGCAAACAGTGCAGACAAAGATCAGACAGCATTGATGTACTGGTTGATCACGGTCTTTACTGGTCACATGGGTAGAATCATGGGCTGCCATCAGGCCAAGGTACAATTATGATCTTCAAGACAGATGTATCCTTATTTCTGTGGGTAATGAACAAACAGCCCAACACCAGATGAGACTTCACAATGATATCTATAATGTAAACAAAGATTTCAACAAACACTTTTTTACCTTGAGCATTACTTTCAGCATGTTCAACAGTTTCATCCTTAGGTTTGGAACCATTCCTCGTAAGCTCAGAGAGAACATCATCTTGGGTACCAGCCCATGTCTGTTGAGAGACAGCGTGTAAATCTGGTGGTGCTGAATTGGTATTACGTTGATAGCCATCATTGCTGATATTTGAACACTCAACTTCTTCTCTTACTATGCTTAACCATTCCTCCATTAGTTGCCATAGCAACTCCAGAGGCTATTTTTGGTAGAATATAAAAAGTAGAACTTAAATACTGCTTCCTATTTTTTTTATTATTTCATATCAATAAATGATTCATATCTACACACAATAATCTAAAATTCATTTTCAGATGCTCTAGTCCTTGATTAATTGTTACTTTCCCTTTTGATTTATTAACTCTTCATGTGAGAAAGATATATTCCTAGCTATTTGAAGGCTAATGATTCTATCTTGGAAAACTGTATCTACTTTATTGGTAGAAGTAGACCTCAGGTAGAGGAACTAGCCCCGTGACTAAAGGAATTTCATTGTAACTCACTAAGATGCTTTTCAAAAACTGTTACCTTTTCAAAGCAGACCTGCCTTTCAAAATAAAATATACACTATTAACAATTGTTTACACAACTGATTTGAAAGGCCAACATCACAGAGCTTGGTCAGACTGCTGTAATGTGCAAGTAAAACTGGCTCTTTAACTGGCGACTTAATTAGGTAAGTTATTATGTCCTTAAGCTTTCAAAGAGTTAAAGAAGTGTAGATTTGTAAATTAATAAAAATACACCCAACTGTAACAATTTCTGTCTAATTGTAAGTGTGTGAATGTTAATACCTGGAAGGTTTTCTGTAGGAGATTTTCTGAGTGATCAGCATTGTTGTGTGTAACCATAACGGCATATAGCTGTGTAAGTATCTTTACACATCTTAAAAGGCATATGACCTGATTCTCAGCATCAGATGACACACTGCAATAAAAAAAAAGTACAGAAATTTGTTTCAAATGTAGGCACTGTGTAAATAAAGTTAATAAACTTCTGAATTTCCTAAATGACATTGTCCAACTTTCAGTTATGAAACAATCCATTACAGTTTTTGGAATATCACAATGAAAACTTAACTTGATTAACCAACAGTTTTAGAGCCTTGTGAGACTGGAAGAATGTGCAGACTGGCCTGGCTCTATATTGGGGGCTAAATACAGCTTTTGTAGATACCACTTAATAAGTATAGTCAGTTTAATATATGTAACATCTAACATATACAGTGTTTATTTTCATGTTTTTATAATGGCCAAGGCATTTAAATTTAAAAATTGTAGTACAAAGCCAATGAAACTTAAACAATACACAAACAAACTGCTGGTGAAAAACTCTCTAATTTTCTTTTAAACTTTAATGAATCAACTGGATCTTTTAACAATAATTGCAACTTAAAAACCCTATATTTAGAAGATATTCACACACATAAAAGAAGACATACGAACAGATTTACCTTAAGACACTGTGTCCAATGTTTGTTGCATCATGTGCCAGGGTTGAGAAAATTTTAACTGCCATATTAAGATCATTATGAACACATAAATATCTCAGCACTTTCAAAATCTGTAATAAAATATAATATTGCAAAATCATTTTTAATTGTGGAGAACTAATTTTTGTGGTTTTTATTGATAGGTCAATCCACAAATTTAAGACCCAGCGAAACTTCCTTTTGTCTGCTGTAAGATTATTTTGCATCCCGTTATTTATCTTTTGGAAAAAAAAATGTTCGTGAATTTCACAACCCACAAAAATGTTATTTGTGACAAAACAACGAAATGTCATGCCCACAAAATAAAGTGAATTTACAGTTTATTGTTGAGATCAATGAGATCTGCTATATTAAACTGTAGTTATATGACAAATTGCAGGAGTGTAACTTAAAGCATTGAGTAACAAGAGGGCTCCAGATCACTCATCTGAGAACCCTTTCAAGAGAACTTAGTTTCAATAATGCAGAAGCAGGTCACTGGGTCATATGAGATATACAGATTTTATTTTAAGAATCATTACTGTGAGGTATGCTAAAAATATAACTGGTTGTTTGGGTGACGATGTTGTTAAAGCAAATCTGGATAAAATAGGCACAATAAACCATTAACAACAGACATCAAGTGATCACAAATGATGAGTGTAAAAGAATAATCTTTGCTATAAATTAATGTACAAATTATATTTGTACCCTAAATGACTCTGACCCTAAACATTTATTACAGTGTAAGTTTTACGTACGATATAACTTTACATTTTTTTACTTTTTCAGACCCATAATTCAAACAAAATTTTGCAGATACATTAATGTTAGTTTGATGTTTAACCAAATCTGTCCTACCACTCACAAGGCTTAGTGACAGTAACAGAAATAGAGTCATATCAAGGACATCGTCCATTCTAAGTCACCCACTGATATACCAGTGTTATCCTGCTTTGCAGCAGACGACAGTTAAATGTCAGATTTCAGCACATTGACATGTAAGCTAGCCTAGCTCTCGGCAACCTTTACCAAGAAAGGTAATGTCCATTTTTACTGTTGAAAAAGAAAGAAAACAAATTTTAATTATTACCATAGTTTCATCAATAATTTTATTAGTCACCATGCTCATGAGATGAGGGAACAGATTTGGCCAGTGTCGTATCAGAATATCACAAGTCTCGCTGTAACCTCCCTGAAATATAAACATTTTAAAATCTTTAAATATGAAATCATAAAGCTGATAAGGTGCTGATTGTAATTATTAAAACATTTTGTTTGATATATAAACAATTTTTAAACATTTATCCTTAAATTACTTTATTATGTAAGGTTTAAAATCACATCAACACTGCATATAACAACTTCAGCTTTTAGTGGTAAAGAAAGAACTCAGATATATAAAAGCACTTTAGAAACAGAGAGTGGTGAAGAAAGAGTTATGAAAGTAAACATCCGTATGTTACAGCTTAACTCAACACAAAGTTCTACTTATGTTACAGCTTACCTCAACCAAAGTTCTACTTGTATCACAGCTTAACTCAACCAAAGTTCTACTTGTGTTACAGCTTACCTCAACCAAAGTTCTACTTGTGTTACAGCTTACCTCAACCAAAGTTCTACTTGTATCACGGCTTAACTTAACACAAAGTTCTACTTGTGTTACAACTTACCTCAACCAAAGTTCTACTTGTGTGACAGCTTACTTAACACAAAGTTCTACTTGTGTTACAGCTTACCTCAACCAAAGTTCTACTTGTGTCACAGCTTAACTTAACACAAAGTTCTACTTGTGTTACAACTTACCTCAACCAAAGTTCTACTTGTGTGACAGCTTACTTAACACAAAGTTCTACTTGTGTAACAGCTTACCTCAACACAAAGTTCTAGTGGTGTTTTTGTATATGTACGATCACTGCCTCCCTGACGACTTCCAACATTGTCCAATGTCTCGTAGCTTACTGGTGTACTAACTGTAGAAATCTTTGCTCCTTTCATCAACAAAAAATTTGCTAAATCATGCTGACCATTACTGTAAAAAATGCCCAGTAAAATTATATCCTCAAAAAAAATGCCCAGTAAAATTATATCCCCTAAAAACTAGCTAAAAAACTGTAGTACAATGAAACAAATAGGTAATCAGTATATTATTACAATTCAATTCATACCAAAAATGTATAATTGGGAAATTATCAACTAAGACTAATTGTTAAAATACACTATTTCTTAAAGATAAATTTTGAACACAAGATTCAAATCTTGCAACAATATGCTGATATTTCTCTTTCCTTATGGTTTAGTTTAACATCAACATTTACATGGCCACATTGTGGAAAGAACTCAGAATGCCTCTCCCTATATCATTTTAGGAACAAATGGGCAACTGAGTAGAATCACTGAACTTTTGTTCCTTTTGCTGTCTCACATGAAAGAATCATTAGTTTCATGTGGACTTTGAACCGAAAATGATGAAGGACAGGTGAATCTCCTTTTAAATGAACATATCACTGATTTTTAATTAAGAATGATTGAAACAGCCTTAATTTTAAGGTAATAAAATTATCAAAATAAAGAATGCTACTACAGCTTTGGTAAAATCTCTTATACATTTTGTTTGTATTTCCAAATGAATCTATAGCAATACAGAATGACAAGGCTTTATAGATTGTGCTTTCTAAGTTATTGTACCTGCAAGCAAAATGTAATGGTGTCCATCCAAAATTATTTGGTCTATTTACATCGGCTCTATGATCTAGAAGACAAAGTACAGTCTGAAAGAAAGATAATAAGTTACACATTGGTCATGTTTATATGTCTATATGATTAAAATAATGCTTATTGTCAGTGTTTATGAAAAAAAAAATTATATTCAAAAATTAAAATGAATTTATGGGCGTGCTACTTCAAACATTACACTATTGCTATATGTCGTAATTTCAGAAACCAGCAGGCACCTGAGTAGAACCATCAACCTAAGCTAGCTGGATAGTATCCTCATTAAAGTGACAATGTTTTGCTTTGGTGAAGTAAAAACTTACAGATTTGTGGCCATTCTGACAAGCCACATGTAAGGCAGTCTGACCTTGAGCATCCTGAAATAATGAAATTCATAATTAAATTACTGAATTAAATGATCAAACAGAAATGTTGATAGATAAGAATGGACTGGAATGTTTTTTCTAATTAAAGTACAAGTGCTGGATCAACACTTATAAACTTGTCAGGTATTAGTAGGATTATGATTTTGTAGTGTTTGAATTACAGTTTAACTATACATAAAGTTCAAAGATATAACTATTCAAGTGCCATAAAGATTTGGTCAAATGAGAGACCTGTAGAATTTTTTCATTTGATGCAATCTGACTGCCAACAGTCAATTTAAAAGATGTGGAAGCTGTACATTGAGGTTTTTTGACATGAAGGGAATGGCAATATTTTTTCAAGCCTTGTGTACTATTTGATGTTAGCCTGGACTTATAACTTGTGTGCAAAATTTCAATTCATTCACTTACTCCATTTTCCTAGAATATTCAGTTTCATTGTGCAAAATGACACAACAAGAGCTGTCGGTAGGACAGCAACGCTCGACTATTCTAGTGCTTGATAGTAAAAAATAATGCTTGATACAGTTACCTACTCCTGTTTACAGGTTGGGGTCATGATGGTGAACAAGTGTGCAAAGTTTCAAAGCCATATGTCAATGGACTTTGAAAATATTTGAACTATTACAAAAACTTTAACGTAAATTCTAAGTCGAAAAAGGGGCATAATTCTGTCAAAATGCTTGATAGAGTTACCTCCTCCTGTCTACAGGTTGGGGTCATGATGGTGAACAAGTGTGCAAAGTTTCAAAGCCATATGTCTATGGACTTTGAAAATATTTGAACTATTACAAAAACTTTAACATAAATTCTAAGTCGAAAAAGGGGCATAATTCTGTCAAAATGCTTGATAGAGTTACCTTTTCCTGTCTACAGGTTGGGGTCATGATGGTGAACAAGTGTGCAAAGTTTCAAAGCCATATGTCAATGGACTTTGAAAATATTTGAACTATTACAAAAACTTTAACATAAGTGGTTACGCGGACGCCGACGCGGACGCCGACGCTCGGGTGACTGCAATAGCTCTACTTATTCTTATCGAATAGTCGAGCTAAAAATGAATGGCATTGAAACTCTTTTCACCAAAACTTAGCTCAGAAGCATACAAAAATCAAGTTTATATTTAACTCTGAATACATAGGTGTATAATCTTAAGCATATTGTTTCCACTTTAAATGTCCCAGTTGATCTATGAAATATTTGTATTTTACGTGGATTAAATGTACTTATACTTTTTGTACAAGTCATGTGTTAATGTCAAATTCTGCTGTAATTCTCAAACAAGAGGGCCATAATGGCCCTGAAGTCGCTCACCTGTATATAGGCCCCCGAAGCGGGGCCAGTTTTAACCCCAGGGCTTTTATTTGAACAAACTTGGTAGACACCCATTAGAAGATGTTTCATGCTAAACATCTAAGGTCTAGCTCGTTGGGTTTTTTAAAAGAAGATTTTTTCAAGTTTTTTTCTTTACACATATAGTTAAAAACAAGTTTTGACCCCAGGGCTTTTATTTGAACAATCTTTGTAGACACTTACTATAAATTGTCTCATGCTTAATATCTTAACTCTAGCTATTCGGGTTTTTTCAAAGAAGATTTTTAAGTTTTTGCTATACACATATAAGGAAATCAATGTCCCCCGGGGCTGGCCAATTTTGACCCCAGGGCTTTTATTTGAACAAACTTTGTAGAAACTCACTAGAAGATGCTTCGTGCTTAATATTTAAACTCTAGCTATTTGTTTTTTTTTTTCAAAAAAGATTTTTTAAGTTTTTGCTATACACATATAAGGAAAATCAATGACCCCCTGGACGGGGCCAATTTTGACCCCAGGGCTCTTATTTGACATCCATTAGAACATGTTTCATGCTAAATATCTTAGCTCTAGCTCTTTGGGTTCTTTAAAAGAAGATTTTTATGCATATAGGGAAAATCAATGACCCCCTGGGGCGGGGCCAATTTTGACCCCAGGGCTTTTATTTGAACAAACTTAGAAGACACCCATTAGAAGATGTTTCATGCTAAATATCTTAGCTCTATCTCTTTGGGTTCTTTAAAAGAAGATTTTTTAAGTTTTTACTATATGCATACAGGGAAAATCAATGACCCCCTGGGGCGGGGCCAATTTTGACCCCAGGGCTTTTATTTAAACAAACTTGGTAGACACTCACTAGAAGATGTTTCATGCCAAATATCTAAGCTCTAGCTCTTTGGGTTTTTTAGAAGAAGATATTTAAAGTTTTTTTCTTTTGGTTGCCATGGCAACCAGTTCCGCATGGAAGTAAATTCTTTGAACAATTTTCAAAGGTGACCACCAAAGGAACATTCCTGTGAAGTTTGGATGAAATTGGCTTAGTGGTTTATGAGGAGATGTCATTTAAAGTAAAAATTTACGGAGGACGGACGGACGCCGGACGAAAAGCGATCACAAAAGCTCACCCTGTCACTTTGTGACAGGTGAGCTAAAAAAAAGTTCAGTTTTCATTGAAATCTATAGTAATCAATATATAAATCACAAGTTTACTTACCCCAATATCCACATCATTGATGTACTGAAATACATCCTTAAGTAGTTCAGTTCTTCCATTTACAGCTAACCAGTGAAGCTGAAAGTTTATATGACATTCTCTTAAATAATGCTTCAATGTTATTTACAGATTTATAGAATTATCTGAGGTGTCATACTATGTTAGGGAATTGATTCTTTGGATTAGCAGTCTAGAACACTGTCTATATTTGTACTTTAAGCTGGAATATATATGAGCCGCATCACGACAATGTTGGATGCGCAGGCTGGTCTGGATCCATGCTGGTCGCAAACGCACTATGTTGGTTTTGTCGTGATGCGGCTCATAAAATTATGCCTTTACATATTTCTGTTACATAGTTATATGCTCAAAAAGTATTTTAAGATATAATTAATCTGAAAGTATAACTGAAGCATACCACTGTAAGACCCTCATTACTGGTAATCCTGACATCAGCAGCATGCTCCAACAGGCTGACAACACATTTCTTTTGTCTGCAAGTAAATATTCATTTATAAGTCTGACACATATGGACCTTTCCAGTGTTTACAGTTTTATGTCAGTTGATTGACTGGCTATCCAATTGCTACTCTGGGATAATGCATAGTCATTGGTTGACCTGGTTTAGACAAAAGAAAACATGGTTTGGGTGGTGATACTGTTCGTGAGCAGTTGACCTAGCCATGAATAGAAAAGGTAGTGGCTAAAATTTTAACAGGCCCATTATCCGTTAAGTCACAAACAGAAACATATATTTTTCTGAAAATTTTCTGCCTTGAATATTTTGCTTATTCAGTTTATCATTTCAAAAAGAGAATCTTAATGGTTAGAACTAGTCTAGATGTGCAATGAAAAGCTCAATTTTGCATACGGAATACACTTTTCTAGCAGAGTAAATCATGAATTTCTCCTGCAAATAAGCTTTTAAAGATCTTTCGTATACATCATACATTAGAGTATGTTTCGGTTATAGTTGCCGACTAAGAACCATGTGATCCTAAATGTCCTGGGTCCGAATCCTGAAAGGGACTTTGGACAAAACTATCCATCTTAAGTTTACATGAAGTTGGTGGTACTGCTTAAATGCCATCATGTGTCTGAAAGTAATAATGCACAATAAACATATTAAAAGATTGAATAAGATCTAAAATATGATGCAATCAATTGAATCTTTTGTCGGTACAATTGACTTCCTTTGTTCTAAATCAATACCACAACCTTGTTGGACTAGCTTAACAGTGTGTCATTTAATTACAGCAATGAGAATATATATTTATTCAATGTAACACAAACCCATTCCTGGCCGCTAAATGTAGTGGTGTACAGCCAGACACGTCTCTTACATTCACATCAGCTCCTTTCTTTATCAATAAGTTCAAACACTCGGAAGATCCGCAACTGTTTGCAAAGTAAAAAAGAAACAACTTTATTGTTTTAATCAAAAGAACTCCATCATTCAAATACCATTTCAACAGATATTGATAAATAAGTCATGACGCTATAATGAGCATAAGTATAAAATCTTTTAGTCTTTCTGACCTTTTACTTGACGCCAGTAAATTGCATAGTTTTATGCAAAGGGACTATATACAAAATACAGGCTGAAGAGACAAGGAAGAACTAGAACTGTGTCCAAAGGACACGGATGCCCCCACTGACAACATATATATGGTATATAGTGAAAAAATTAACAAAATGCCATAATTCTGTTAAATTTGGTTGCAGCAAAAATTCATTCCTTTACTACCATCTACACATTAAGGTTGTTCATCTCTGGAAGTTAAAGCAAAATCTGCCATCTGGTTTAAGAGGAGTTGCGTTCACAAAATTTCTATATGGTATATAGTGAAAAAATCAACAAAGGGCCATAATTCTATTAAATTTGGTCGCAGCGAAAATTCCTTCCTTTACTACCATCTACACATTAAGGTTGTTCATCTCTGGAAGTTTAAGCAAAATCTGCCATCCGGTTTAAGAGGAGTTGCGTTCACAAAATTTCTATATGGTATATAGTGAAAAAAAATCAACAAAGGGCCATAAATCTGTTAAATTTGGTCGCAGCAAAACTTCCCTCCTTTACTACCATCTACACATTAAGGTTGTTCATCCCTGGAAGTTTAAGCAAAATCTGCCATCCGGTTTAAGAGGAGTTGCGTTCACAAAATTTCTACATAGTATATAGTGAAATATCAACAAAGGGCCATAATTCTGTTAAATTTGGTTGCAGCAAAAATTCCTTCCTTTACTACCATCTACACATTAAGGTTGTTCATCCCTGAAAGTTTAAGCAAAATCTGCCATCCGGTTTAAGAGGAGTTGCGTTCACAAAATTTCTACATAGTATATAGTGAAAAAAATCAACAAAGGGCCATAATTCTGTTAAATTTGGTTGCAGCGAAAATTCCTTCCTTTACTACCATCTACACATTAAGGTTGTTCATCCCTGAAAGTTTAAGCAAAATCTGCCATCCGATTTAAGAGGAGTTGCGTTCACAAGATTTCGGGACGTACAGACAGACGTACGGACGGACAGACGTACGGACGGACGGACAAGTGCAACGCTATATGCTCCCACTCTGTGGGGGCATAAAAATTTATTCTAACTGTACAATGCGATCCCGGGCAAAAAATTTACTATACTTTCTGGAGCTACACTAGGTCATGTTAAACATCAAATATGTTATAATTAAGCCTACACAAGACTTGTTGATTCTAACAAGAAGATATTCAAAGGGTTTTTCTATGCGATCTTTATAAGCAAAAAGTCTGGAGTGGTGCTAAGTTCCACACAATGACAAAGGTTTATATAAATTCAATAAAGATCTACAAAGTTACACGTCAGCTATTCCAGCAGTTTAAAAGAAAATCATTGCAGTTTCTTAAACAATCATTCTTTTATTATAAATCTGAATTAAACTTGTATATACATGTAATATTAAATAATTAGAATAAAAAATAATTACATACTTAGCTGATATATGCAGTAATGTTCTCTGAGCTCGGCCACATTTATAGTTGACATCATATTTTGAACTAGCCAGTAACTCTGACAATGACCTGCAATATTGAACAAAAACAACTGCTTAGAACACATCTCAAACAAACTGAGAGAAAGAAGGTATGCCATAAGACGCATGTTTCTTTTCAAAGACTTTACAGTTGCTTCAATTCCACACCAATTTATACCATGTGATTTTAAAAACAGGCAAAAACAATAATCACTGTAACTGATTTTCATAAAAAATCTACCAGAACAATTTAAAAGTGCAAAAGAATTTGAAATTGTCAAGTATTTCAGTTGAATATGCAGTATGCACTCATTTTTATTTGATCCCTCCTATGAATTCAAATCATTTCATGTCCGAAAAAGAGGCCATAAAAGCTCAGAAACATGCAACTGTGCCAAATAATTAACCCTTATAATCTGTTGGAACCAAAAGTGATCAGCATTTGCCACCAGAATAGAGCAAGGTCAGCCTCCATGTCCATGAACTCTTGTCAGACTCAATACACTTGACAGACCAGCTATAAAATTTCCATCTTGATATCCCAAAAATTGATAATGAATAATTCCAAAAATGGGAGCTGGACAAGTTAAATTAAGAAATTCAGCAGATATTGATTAAACAACATGAAATTTGATGGCACTTGAAATTCTTACAATTTAATAAAGAAAATTTAAAAGCTGATTCCAGCAATAAAGACTCTTTTACATAAGTTGTTTCTATTTTTATTTTTTATAAAATTTCACCTGTAAAAAAGTGTTGAATCTGTTGAATGGAATACACGTAGTCCATTTTTGAAAATACAAAAGCCAAAATTTGTTCACAGAAGTAATTTTACTATAATTAATAAACCTCCATGTGTAATGGTTATAGTTGGTGACCAAAGATCACTAGCCTCTCACTGGATTCTGTCATGTAAAGAAGCTATCCAGCTAGCTTACAGAAGTTTAGTGGTTTTATTCAGCAACAGTGTGCAGAGAGATCTGGTGGGCCGGCCACCCTGAGGTATTCTTCCACCTGTAAAGCTAGAAAGTTGCTAAAATACAGACCTTTACAGTGTCAGTGTCAACCAACAACAACAAAAAAGAGAAAGCAAACAAAATTTATTCTGTTAGTAAAAAATTCAAAAATAACTATACTTATGCTGATTTCCAATGACCATGGGCATCAACACATAGAAAGCTGCTTTTTCATCTAAAATAACAAGTAACAGTTTCAGTATAAGACATTTATCCTATATTATTATAATTATATTTCTTTAACAATTGCCCAGAAGCAAAAATATCTCAAAGCGACGTCATATTTATAGGACTAACTAGTAGATCTATATGTAGATTTAGACACTGTTATACAATTTTCCGTCAGCGCCAATTTTTTCGTCCTTTTATCAGAGATGAGCAAGAAATGTGCCCAAAAATCATACATTAAAATTTATGTGTGACATACTGTATCATTTACTTTACCACTGTATACTAACTAGATCTAATTACAATGTAGATCTCTACCTTCAGGAAGTTCTACTGTCCTTCCACTTCTTAGACTTTTTACTAGTCTCTGAATAAATGACATCATAGGCGTTCTACTCCAAAATAAAATAAATACATTGAATTAGTAAATCTTATCGTTTTTCACCTTCCTTTCCATCATAACTATTTTTAAATTAGAGACTCTATTTTGTTTACTTCCTACTTCAACAAATGAAATGTGAACGAAATGTATTTGATATCAAACATCAATCTTTCTTCAAATTATAAGTCAGCCATCTAACGGATATACAATAGTATAAATATGTGTCCACATATGTTTGATAAATATGTCTTCAAACATCTGAATCTCTAAAAATAAAATAAAATAAAGTTAATTAAACTTATTCCGTCCACAGCATTTTCTGTTGGTAAAACACCACTAAATATTAATACCGGGGGACCAGTCCCATGGATCCCTGCAGTACGCAGTCGTCCCGCTTTTATTCGACAGTGTTTGTGAGGCAGTTTTTGTGGCTGCAGACAGAGTGAAGTTTGTTTCGGGTTCTGCTTTAGAGTTACGCTGGGTATCAGACTATACAGCGGTGTGCAAACGGCACATCTTGGCTATTATACGAAAAGTCCAAGAAGATGCAATAGTTTAATTTTAGTACGGAAGAGTTACTTCCCTTTAAAAGAAATCCTCCATTATTTCTGTGAAAAGACGACTGCAATTTCCCATAATAGTCTTTATCTAAAACGATATGTAATATCACAGAGCTTTATTTTCTGCATTTTAATTCTCTGGTAATATTTGTAAAAGCCAATAGTATCGAAGAAGATAGATATATATTGTATCTAACTGTGGAAACAAGACACTTCATCCCCAAACAAAATCAATAAGACACTTTACCCACTCATCCAATATCCAGTACCGTCCAAGAATAGACTCAATCAAACCGAGCCTGCAACATTTTCAGTTTTGCCGTGTTGGGCTTTTTAGGGATTTTATTTTCTCTATTTTAGAACATTACCCATGCAGTCTATGCAAAAGTCAATTTTTTTTCAGGCCACACTGGGACATACGATAAGTATATCGTATATCCCAGGGCCACAAGGACCGAGACCCTAAGGTTTATTTCCGGCCCGGATGATATTTTTCCGGCCCAGACATTTCAAGCATTATTTTATAATAACTTGGTTGAATGTAAAAATGATTGTCTTTCTTAAAATTAGTGAGACCATCAATATAGAAACATAAGAAGATGCTGACCAATTGAAATAACTTAAGCAGGGTTCTCAAAGAGAAGTCCTTGGACTCCCAAGCACAGAAACGTAGGAGCACAGAGCACGTTGAATATGTTAAGCCATCTTTGCTGCACTTATGCAGTTGACTAATATGATGTATATTAGCAGAGTAAGCTAGGGGTTGGAGAGTCGGAGTTTGAACAGAGAAAAAGCTTATTCAGGAAAATGGTAGTATGTCCCAAATGGAATACACTGTACCATAAAAGTGATTGAAAAGATTTGAAATATAATTTCAAAAACCCTACATCATCAGACCATTATGCTGTTTTCTTCCAGATTCACTCCACACATGCACCCCCCTCGCATAAAAAAATATTCATTGTATTAGACAAACACATACTGGTAAATACCTCCATCTCAACTAATGTGAACAATATCTTTAGTAATTTCATTTCTTAAACTACATTTAAGCGTTATTACACACATTTTAACAAAACAAAGTTTCCTTTTGGTTACGATTTTTTTTTTTTTTTAATTATAAAAAACGGCATCGCGAAAATATGTGACTGATAATTTGTCTGTTTCCTGCAGAAACATTCACAATTCTACTTGTTGTTGATTTTGATTATATTAGATTAAATATTTTTTTATTATTTTAAGATTGTTACTCATCGGCTATTTCAACAGGCATCATAAAACAAAATTTTCAAATCTGTAATTTACGGCAAAATTTACCCTTGTTGATGAAACTTTTTGAAGACAGAGTTGACTGGTATTTAATTGACAGGCACAAAATAGATCTTAAGGTTGGTCAATATCTTCTTGAATAAATTCTTTGCATCACCGGGAACTTGTTATCAATCAGGTCATTGATATTTTTAACTTTTTGAAATTTTATTCGGACATGAGGACTGAAGGAAAGGAATTTTTCTCGGACCGCATGATTTTTATTCAGCCAGGACCGAGGACCGACGGACTTTGGCACAGACTGCCCATGTGTTATGTAATTGTAAGGCTTGGGTATCAGTAACACAGTGCATAATGTTTAAAATTTTCATAAATTTGCAGGGATCATTTCTGGCCAGAATTATTATTGAGAGAATTTCTCTTGTTCGGCCAATTTTAAGAAGTAAGTAAAGATTTTCTATACATATTTCAATATTCCATAATGGGCAAGTTGAATATGTGGATTATTCAAAGTTATAGCAAAAAGCCTTAGACATTATATTTTCATTAGATATCTATAAACAATGCAACATTAAAACACAGAGTGTATGTTCTGTTTGATACAATTGCAGTATTTCTGAAGAAACTTATACATTTTCTTTTGTAAAATCAGCTATTAATCAGTCTAGTAAGTTATATATTACACAGTTTTCAACAATACTACACAAATTTTTACCACCTTATAAGTACAGTGTAAAAACATTTTCAATCACACAGAAAACTGTACATTTTTTTTCCATGATGAAATAACATCTGTTTCTATGCCATTTTGTCAGTTTCAATGATCAAACTTTCATGTGATGTGCTGATCAAGGGAAGTTTAAGGTGTTTGATATATGTACAGGACCAATTAAGATTTAAAATTTCTCATTTACATGAGGCTTTTTAATGATTATGAGTATTTGAACATGATATTGTAAAGTGTAAAGCAGGAACATTATTACTGTTAATACTTTACATTTGAATTACTGGTGTTCAGCCTAAATGAGACTATCCAGGTGTTTTTTTTACAATCAAGTTGAATACATGTGAACTCTCCCATTTAAGCAGGATACTCCCACTTTGTGCAGCCATATTTTCAAAGATTTTTCTTAAAATAAGGGGTATTTTCACAAATTAAAGAAGTCTCCCTATTTTTGATGTCAAAACTTCCTTCTTTGTTTTTTGCAAATTCTAAAATCTCCCTCTCTTTGAAGAAAAATCTCCCACTTGATCAATAAAAAAAAGTTCACATGTATGAAGTTGTTTATTCACTCTGAATCTTTTGGTTTCTACAATTGGTTTCTACAATTAGATGGTTTATACAATTGGATGGTTTAAATAATCAGGTGATCTAGACAATTTGTTTGTTGATGCAATTTAGTCAGATGGTTTTTTCTTATACAGTTGTGTCTTTTTGACATCTGGTGATTTATGCAATCAGGTGGTTTCTGTAGTCTGATGGTGACCAAAATTGCCATGGGTGGTTTTTACAAAAGTTGGTTTCTACAATCAGATATTTTAGAGGATTTCTACAATCATATGGTTTCTGCTGTCAGGTGGTTTCTTTTGTCAAGTGTTTTCTGCAGTCAGATAGTTTCTTAAGTCAGGCAGTTGCTTTAAACAAGTTAAATTTTAGGCTAGTTGTTAAGTTCAGTCAGGTGTATTTGTTTGTTTGTTTAATTGGGTTTTATGTCACACCAACAAAGTATAGGTCATATGGCAGTGTTCAAGCTCTACTGGTGGAGGAAGACCTCAGACGCCCTTCCATGCACTATTTCAGGCACAAACTGGCACCCGAGTAGAACCACTGATGTCCCGTAAGCTAGCTGAATCACCAGCGTTCCGTGAGCTAGCTGAATATCTTCCTCACATGAAAGAATCAAAAGTCCCTGTTGGGATTCGAAACCACAGTGGTGAGAGGCATGTCGTTTAAAGTCAACAACCTTAACCACTTGGCCACTCAGTCAGGTGTATAAGGCATCTATTTCATCAATCAGTAAGCTCATGAAATCTGTGTTTAAATCTATAGTCAGATGATTTTTAATGCCAGGTAGTTCCTATAGCCAGTTTTTCTTTTCTTTTGTTGTATTTTTATACACATTTTCTTCAGTTAAGTTTTCTAGAAGTGCTGCATCTTCTACAGCTACATCTTCTACAGCTGCATCTTCTACAGCTGCATCTTCTCAATCTGCCTGCCTGTATTTCTCTTGTCAGGTTGACTATATTCCATCAGATAGTCAACTTTGTTTATGTATCCCAACTTTCAGGTGGTCTCTGCAATCAGGTGGTCACTTCAACATCAGTTCTTCTAACCAGGTATTTTCATTCAGATGACTGCTGACTGCTTTAATCAGGTAGCCTTTATTGAGAAGTAATTGATTAAGTTAGATGATTTGCAATGAATTGAAATAACAAGTGTTGGTGCTACTTTATAATAATGAACATAACAGCGGCTTAACTATTCAATACTACACTTTTCAAGTATTCCATAGAGCAAGACAAAAACCATTTATTAAGAAATATCGACTAGTTGTAATATTGATCCTAGTATCTTTCAGTCAGCTAAATAACAGAGTGAGATAGAGAGAGAGAATAGCTATATACAGAGAGAGGAAGGGTGATATTGATTGGTAATGTTCAGTGCTGCCATAAAGAGACCTATTTTTTCAGATGGTCAATGATTATTGGTGATGGGTTGTAGTTTCTTTAAGAAGCAGAAACATGTGATGTTGATTTTTGGAGAAATCTTGCCAAGTGTTGTCTGTCTATTAGATCGATATAGTTTCTTCCAGATTTGCTAGAAATTGCAATGTTCAATACACAAAGATCGATGGTTGAATTGCAAGATGACAATTTAAGCATCAGTCTACAAAAAGACTGTTTAAGATGGTTAAAGCTGTAATTAAGTTATATACAGGATATTCATTTTAATGTTAACAAAAGAAAATGAAATCTCTGTTATGGAATCATAAAATGATGTTACTTTGGGGTCAAGTGGAGGTTATTTGCTATCAACTATTATTCTTTCATTTAATCAGTTTTAATGAAATGACTTTGCTAATGTCATCAGCAGTTTAACAGTGTCATTAATAAAATGTAATGTGCATTTGAAGCCATTCTACCACTTTCATTTATGTGACCTTGAAGCCAATTTACCATGCAATTTATAAGCTGCTGTTACCTTACAGTTGTAATTACGTGCTCATGAAAACATTTTACTATTGTTACTAGATGTGTTCTTGAAACCTCTATACTATTGTTATTTTATGCCCTTGAAACCACTCTACTATTGTCATAATATGCCCTTGAAACTGTTTTTCAGCTTTATATGCCCTTTAAACTGATTTTCATCATTATATGCCTTTGAAACTGCATTTCATCATTATATGCCTTTGAAACTGCTCTTCATCATTATATGCCCTTGAAACTGCTCTTCATCATTATATGCCCTTGAAACTGCTCTTCATCATTATATGCCCTTAAAAC